GCCATCAGACTAAAAGTCTTCAGCTATTGAACAAAACTGCATCTTGCTTCAGGTCACAGGAAAAAAAGTCAGGTTATTATATGATAACAGGTTATTATATAAAACATGTCCCACTAAGATTATTTTGTAAATATGTATTGTTCGCTAGCTTTAGTTGCAGGTTTAAAAACTATATAAAAATATTGCAACTATCTAGTTTGTATGTTGAAGTTAATATGTTGACATTAATATGAAGTTAAAGAATACTTTTGAGCTTTTTTGCAATTTTTTTTTATGAACCCATTTTTTTATAAACAGATTTGTGTACAGAGGTGACCAGAGAAATTGCTAAATATGTATTTGTGCTGTCAATCGATTAAAAAAAAAAAAAATCAACTAATTCTACTTTATGAAGGCCAGGATCACTGATACTAGAACTGCTCCTGATGTCTAACTGGTAGGGAATAAACAGAAATTGAGTAGTTGTCAAACACTTTACAGTCGTAACTACACAAAGCATGAATTAACTATAGATTAAGTCTTATTAAAGCTACAACTCTTTTAGCTTTTGTTCTTTGATTTAACACTTATTTACATCACAGCAACTGGTTTATTTTAAACTAACCATGTAGCAACGTTTTAAAAATAGATTGAGTACTTGCAATACTCACAATAAAACAATATTGTGCTTTACAGTTTTATTTTACTTATTCAAAAGTCTTCACAACGTTCTTCTAGCAGTTCATTTCACATTCAAAAATGCACTAAAACTAGCAAAACATTGAATTCATTTATCAGATCAACTCATTCTTCCTGACCACTAGCAGTGGTTTCACACAAACGCACTCCTAAAACCCAAACATCAGGTAGCGTTATACAATGTTCTTTTTCTTTACAAATGAAAATGACACTCATACTGTAGTAAGCGTTATTGTTACATGGTCAGTGTTTGCATTACAGTACAACATGTTTCCTAAGTTTTTCCCTTTTTAATGGTAATGAAATTGAAAATGTAACCACTACTCTGTAGGTGTTCAGTGATCACCATCACTTTGGTAGGTGTTCAGTAACATCTAATTGCTTTGATTTTATAACAGTTTTGAAAAGAGAATGTGACTCTGCAAATTTATGGGGTTAGGATTGTTGCATTATTTTAAATCAATAGATTGAGATGGGGATTTCTTATTGCATCTTATTTTATAATACTAGTAATGGATCATTTTGTGTTATTATAGTCTATTCTATCAACATGCCTGAATTTGCAGCCCGTTCTCATCCCAAGATGTCATCTAACTGATGCTAAAACATCCAACGTTTTAGGGTACCCTTTAACGTCAGTTAGACGTTCTAATCCTAATCCCCAGACCTAAACCTACCCGCGTCATCTAACTGACTCTAAAGGTAAAGCGTCAGTTAGGTGACGCCCCAGGATAGCATCATCTAACTGACGTTAAAGGGTACCCTAAAACGTCTGATGTTGACGTATAGTCAAAAGTGTCAGTTAGATGATGTCTTGGGATGAGAATGTGTTGGAATTTGGCCTATAGCATGGCTTCAGGCCCAGGTTGGCTTTACAAAATTGATAAAGATGATGAATACTTGAATAGCTCGTAACTTACAGAGTGAATTGCATTCCATGCCTTGGGTGTTTTGCGCTCACTAAATGGCCAGACTAAATCTGAATCTCTATCCATACAGGCTAGGTGCCCAACTGAAGGGAATCCAGTGAGTGCCGAATACTGTTCCTATGATGGTCAGTGCCCTGCTTGACAGAAATGCTGCTCAACCACCTGCAATAATGCATGCAGTGTTGATCATATTAGAGAAATTATGTTATGAGTCATGTTACCTTTGCCATGTACCTATCCCATATAAATTGTTCTTTTTGCCTTTGGGATTCTCTGTGATTTGACAGGAGGTCTTCTCAACCATGAATAAAACATGTTCAAAAGTCATAATTTGGAGTCTTTCTGATCACTACTGTGTGTCAGGCTAGACACTAGGGATCTCATTTTCATTCACATGTGATAGTGCTGAAGTGGACCTCTAGAGACGTCTAGAAGAGTATAAATTTGTAGGTGTCTACAAGCAGATGCCACATTAAATTGAAAGGGCATCAACAGACTGGTTTCTTGTAAACAAACAATACTGGATGTGTGCATTCAGGGGGCACAACTGCTAAAAAGTGTTATGCTGAGTTCTGCATGCACCTCATGGGAGGTAACAGTCATTTATGCCGAGAAAAGAGGTGGATGCTAATATCTGCAGATATTCTACAACATCTGTTCTGCTGAATTATCACCATTAATGAACCCCACAATGAGTATTATGTAATTTAAACCATACTTGGTGCATGCAATTCTAGGCATGTCTACATTTGCCATTTCAGAATGGAATCTATTTGTGTTTACATAGCTAACAACAGTTGGCTTGTAGGCTAACATTTTACATAATGTGAAGTTACAACATTCATCAGGTTTCTAAGTTGCTAATCCTAAAAACCTGACATACCCTTTGAATTTATTACCTTAGCCTTCCTAGTTTTGTTGGTTGAGTCTTTCTATCCAAACTGTTTACAACAAGGCTGCATCACAACACAACCCACCATTTGAAAGAAATTATATACTGCAGACATAATTTGCATGAGATGTTTGATAGCTAGCTATAGGAGTGTGACAGTGAGGAAATGATTAGCATCAATTACTTTGGAAGCCTAGGAAAATTATATTAAGAAATTAACTCTCAATTACCAGATCCCTACCCTATTTCAGACCACAAATGGATCACAGATGTGTCCAAGTGGCCAGCAATCATGGCCTGATATATACACATATAAATTATTTTATTTTAAAATGTAATCTATTCCTGGAATTTTCAGCATCATTACTTATTCTTCATTGTCGC